ATATCCGGACGGACTCCGACCAGGGCCCCGCACCCGGACACGATGGCAGAAGGCTGCCTTGGAACTGGCACTGGAGATTTGGATCTGTGAATTCTGTCGACCTCCCAACCATGAGCCCGAGGTCAGAGCCTGCCTTCGTCTTGGATGTTGGATGATGTTGGAGATTGGGCTTAGGGGTCTAGACCCAGAGCGAGAAGAGGAGCCTGGTGGGCAAAGGACTGCGATTACAGGCCTTCGAAGCTCTTAATGTTGGCTTGCGACATGCGCAAATCCCGTGCAGTCGTGGGAGCTGGAGCAGCAGGTAGCAGTAGCAACAGCAATTTGTCTTCGCCGAAGTCGTATGAAGTCGTACCACCAGTATGGCTTGCATCTTCATGGGCGTTGTTTCCATGGTTGCCGTCATTCCTACGGTCCTGGCGACCAAACATACGAGACACATCCTGAAACCCTTGCCTTTCCTATCTTCTCTGCCTCGTTCACCACAACTCTACAGCTTGAACTCAAGCCCTAAAGCCAGTTGCTTCCAGAGAGCACGGACACAGCAGACGTAGGTGTAGCGCCTTGCTCCTGGCATTCCAGGTTTACAAAATGGAGAATCTCCGATTGTCTCCAGCAGGGCCGGGGTCGGAATCATCGGGAGTTTTACGTGTAGTCCAAAGTGATGTGGCTTATGGTGTCAGCTTCCCCGTTCTTCACATTGAGGCCACATTGTGTCCAAAGATGATCTTGCGACATGCCTCTGGACTGCGGGGTCCACAAGCCCTGCTCGGCGCCAAGGATGGTAAAAGCCTTGACTTTACCGTGTTTCTCGCAAGATGCACTCGCACGCCTTGGGCAAAGACCACAACACCCGCTTCGAGGCAAATCTCCACAAGAACGAGCCTCTGCTAGTTCGATACAGCAAAGCATCAAAACAAAGAACAAAAAAAATGACGGCACCCTATATCCTGATGTTCGATGACATCCTAGACCAGTGTAGCTGGCAAAGTGGATTTCGGGAGCATAAGGTACAGCTTGAGGGTTGTGTGAGCAGCTTATCGCTGTAAAGCGGCTGTAAAGCTACGACAGTTCGACATGGCTAACACCTAACAGACCACATTGCGAGATGGCCGAGCAAAGGAATCAGCCTCCTGCTTCGGCGAAGCATCTGGCGTAGCCGCGAGCCTGAAGTTGCGGCGGTCACAGTATGCATCTGGCTGTCACAACAGCATGCAGCGCAGGTGGCATCTTCACAGGCCATTGTCTCAAGCTAAAAAACAAATATGCTTTCTACAGGGCCGGCCCGATGTAAAATCGCGAAAGGTCCCCATCGCCGGCGCCTGCTGTGCTCCCTAGTCGGCGGAGCTGCCTCAGCGAAGCAACGAGGAAAGGCCGGGCGGGAAGTTCAGGACGGCTTCCAAGCCGATTTGTTTGCCCCATTGTTTACAGCTCGGAGCATGACGTGTCGCGTTTCAGAAACCTCTTCAGCATTCCAGGCATGTTCCGGCTGTGCATTTAGTATTTACAAAGGCCTGGACTCTTCCTTTGGGGTTGGAAAGATCGGGGCAACTTAAAAAGGGAGCTTGGGAACAAAGCTTTTGACGAACCAGTACCTCAGGGTGCCCGCGCGCTCAAAGCCACGCTGGGCCGGTCGAGTGACATCCGGGGCGAAATAACCTGGGCTTCCGGGCCATAGAACTAGAAGTAAAATCATGATCACCCCTCCCGCTCCTTTTTGTCAACGGTCCGAAAAGCTCAAAAGTGTCCTAGAACCCACAGAATTCAAGCCCCGTGCCGGTCCGACTCTCGCATCTTCCTGTTTTGCCCCCTGCGGCAGCCGAACTTGGTCGAGTTTAGGCATTCTAACCTGTTTTGCTTCAAGCCGTGGCAGTCGTGGCGGCGGTGGTAGTGGTGGTAGTGGTGGTGGTGGTGGTGGTGGTGGTGCGTGGTGGTGGTGGCGGTGGTGGTGGTGCGTGGTGGGGGTGGCGGTGGTGGTGGCAGTGGTGGCGGCGGTGGCGGTGGTGGCGGTGGTGGTGGCGGTGGTGGTGGTGGTTGGGATGGCTGATTTGTATCTTCAGATGAACTTATATAGAGAACTTGGATGCCACCCGGATCCTGATACGACGATGCTAAAGAGAGCGAAGACACAACCCGCCTGGAGAAACCCTCCTTGACCCGAATCGCTCAACCCGGAAGCTGCAATAGCACCGCACATGAATGCTGAGTGGAGCTGCTCATATTGCATGGGATCTGAGGCAAACCCCAAATGAATCTTCCACTTCCCAGAAAAGCAACGACGATCACCTGATCCCAAGCAGCCGATCGCTCAAATGCCATGGGCCTCCCCAGCATGGCTGCCAGGGTCGACGGAGCTGCAGCGGCACAGGAATTATAGCAAGAGAGTTGCCAACTGCGGCAGTTGAGGTCGCGAAATCTCATCCTAGAAGCCGCACAAAACCCACATCTGACTCGAACTCTGCTCTCCGAATCCCGCGCACCTTGCCATGGCATCCTAGGGAACATCGGCCAACTTCAACATGAGGCTTGAACAGGATTGGGTTCGTGATGTTGGGTTGTTTACTATTTCGGCTCTAGGGCTTGTGTGTGTCAAAGGGTTGGGCTTCTCGCGGAACGGGGTTGCGATGAAGCTTGCATAGTATCCTGGCTAGCAGCTGATTTCCAGCACTTGTGATGAGTGGCTGGCACTAGTTTGCCCTTCCACAAGCATGTCACGTACCCAGCAGTTGGACAAATTATCCATCTCGCATATCTTGCATCAACTTGGGCTCAAATCGCAGCTCACACACACAGATCACTCTCAGAAGATCTTCGTGTCCACTCAAGCAACCGGCCCGGCTTTCCTGCAGATCACGTTTCCAAGACATGATCATGAACTGCACCATCCTTCAGCACCCTCACGATTTTTCTCCTGTAGGCCAGGTGGCTCCAAGAGACAGCCTGGGCCTTGAATGCCTAGCTACTGAATGTCGCGGCCTTTGGCCACAGTTTGCAGGGCCTCGTTGAGAACAGCATCCACGGAATCCCCGTCCGTCTTACTCAAAATCTCCTTGGCCTCGCCCAAAATCCGTTGGGCTGCTCGCCGCTGCCCACGCAGCAGGTTGCAGCTATCCGGCAGTGTCAAGCGGAAACGGTAATTGCTGGGGATGAAATCCAAGGTCTCTTCGCGACCTTCCAGAAGGACAACTCTTCCGGATGCCGCGGCTTGCTGCAGCGCCTGCTGAGCGAAGGCCACAACTTGCGCTTGAGTTGACTTGGCCACCACGGGCAGGAGTCGCGACACGGGAGGGTCCTTTAGGATGGTGTCCTTGATTTCAGAGACGAGCTTGTCGAAGCCGAGGCCCTTGATGCGAATGTCGATGGTGTCCGACCCCTCCTCGAGAACGACTTGTAACATACCGACCCAAGCCTCCAAGTTCTGCGGCGTCAAACACTCCGGCTCAAAGTCCTTCCCTTGTTGCTCGCAGTGTGTGACGGCCAGCAAAGTCAAGGCTCGAAAGCAATTGCCGTTGGACCTCGAGGCGGAAGGAGCTAAGCTCCTCCCTTGAGAGCGAAGCGGGAAGAAACCAGAAGCTAATCATCGAAACCCTGTCACATCCCCGACCAAGGAGCCAGGGAATCGCCTCGGGAAGCTCTTGCTGAAGCTTCTTGAAGGTGGTCTCCTTTCCGGTGCCGCTCTTCCCGACGAGGATCACCTTGCATCGAATGCTGTGCTGTGCAAGTTTGGCTTTTGTCGGATGTTCGTTTCCCATTCGTTTCGACTCGTATGTTGATCAACATGCGTGTGATACCAAGCTAAAGGATTTCCAAACATCCTAGTGATAGCGCCCAGGTACGACGAAACCCTCAGTCGCAGCTGGCAGCTGTGTCGCCATGTAGTGTGCACGCTCGTTCGCCTCCATCTTCGTCACGTCTATGTCTTCGTAGACCGGCTTCTGGCCGGGAGCTACCAATGCACCCTCGTCGATTCCTTTTTGAATGCCGGCCTTCAGCAGCTCCGCATCCTGATCATCACGCTTAATGAGCAAGTCTTCCTCGAAAATCGCCAGCTTCTCAAAGAGGTCGTCGTCGGATAAACGATCAATGATGGCATCCGTGATTCTGAAATCCGTTGAGGTGGCTAATGTGCTCAGCGTAAGCCTCTCCTTTTCTGTGGTGAAACTCCGCAGATACATTCGCGACCTCTGCGGCAAGCTCCGCTGACTGCGACATAGCGCCTGCCTGCCAGAAAGTCGGCCAGCTGCAGCCACGACACCCACACAGGACATCGGAGCCCACGGCGAAGCAGATTTTATCCATGCACTTGGTTTCCGCGACCCACTTGGACCTGTGTGAGCGGCCCCGCGTGCGCCCACGACACCCTTGCCAGCAAGCAGCATGGCAAAAGATGAGTGCAGTCACAGCCTACTCCAACACCACTGCAAGAAGGTCGAAGACTTGACCTGTGCTGAAAGGATCTCTGCTTCACTGCTTTAGTTTAGGGCTCGTGCATTCCCGATGCCGGGATTTGCTGAAAGCAGGGACTCGAGACAGGTCAAGGCGCGAGTCATTCGGAACTCACATGTTTCCAGCTGCTTCCAAACATCCAATCCCGAGGCTCATGCGAAAAGCAGAACTGGAAAAGTCATGTGTGGATGCTCGTCGTCTCTTTCCATTGCTCCTTCTTTGCGTAGCGTCTCGGCATGGTGGCTGAGAGCCCTTGAAGGGAAACGTCTGTGTGGCGGCAAACTGCCACAGTCATTCGATCTAACAGCACAACATGACGGTTCCTAACGGTCCTAACATTGCAGCTCAGTCCCCTGTATGATCAAGAAAGCTCACTGACCGAATTCATAGATCAGGTATATTGTTTCAGCCACCCTTGTGTTTGTGCGAGAGGACGGAAGCTGTCGGCGACTGACACGAGACCCTGTCGTACTACAACTTGCCAAGGGCAGCAGGTCTCATGCAGCAGCACGCGCTAGCGAACCGCGGGTGTCTGTTGCAAGGCCACGAAAAGATCCTCACAGCCTCCACTTGCATGCACACAACGCAGCTAGCACAATGACACCCGCGCAGGCAGCTGCAAGATACTGATTCTGGCTCTGGGCAACTACCACCCCTGTGTCTGGGCGAATTGCTAGAGTCACGAGCTGCGAGAGGAGATCGAACGTCTGCTTGTTGACAGCGGCACTTGCGCTGCTGTCTTTGTGGTAGTTGCTTACTGCAAACACGTGGGCAGTGTTGGCGGCCCTCTTCATAGCATCGAGGACCTTGTTCAATTCCTCATGGGGTCTTGATGCTTTTGAGTCACGGAGGAACTCGTCACGATGGGTGGCAGTCACGACGAAGGGAAAGGTAACTCTTCCGCCAGAAGCATTCTTCAATTCCTTGGCCATGGCGCTCAAGTAGCCCTGCATCTCCTCGTGCTGATCACGCCAATGGCAAAGCGACATAACCACGATGGCTGCATGGGGTGGTTTTCGGAAGTTGCTCATGAATGTCCCCTGAGCTAACTGTCGGCGCCGCGTCCCTGAACTGTGACCTGCGTTGAGCAGAGACCGGAAAGCATCAGCCATTTCGCTGCCCATATTGGGGATGGCCGGCGTGTCGATCAGGGACAGCTTCTCGTCAAGATCCAGAGCCGAGATCTCTTGCGTATTCTCTGCCATGCCAGCAGGAGCAGACTCCATCTCGTCATTGGCCATCAGGTTGTTCTTCCAGCAACGGTGAACATGATTGATAAAACTCGATTTGCCATGGTGCTGGCCTCCGACGATCACGACATTCATCTTGCAGCCTCGCACCTGACTGAATGCATCAAGCTGGCCCACGAGTCGCTGCCTGCAAAGACACACTGACCGTGCACGCCTTCAACGCTTCCGGTCCATCCCGTGCTTCCACATGCATGGATGTGCCCTGCTTGCATGTCATCGACCTGGTCTCCTCCGGGTCAAGCATTGGGCCCTCGGGGTCAAAGTATGCCACCGTAAGGTGGAAGACATAGGTCGCATTGGCATCGGACCTGTCATAATCCCAAGTGACGACCAAGCTCCGATCTGCACGCACCTCAACCTGCAGGTTCGACGGCACGATGAGAGGAGCTGCTGGCTGCTGCATGGCGGCTCGCTTCAAGCCCTTTAGCAAGCCTAAGCCTCTACACAGGTCGTCGTCCAGGGAGCCCAGAACTGCGCGGCCAAAGACCCGACACAGACTGGAAACCGACGACTTTGTGCACGCTGGTGTGTCCCACGCACGAACCAGTTGAAAAAAAAACACCAAACCGTAGGCTCAATAGAAGTAACAGTAAATGTTTGTCAGCTTGCTGCCATATACACATCTGGCACTCCCATCTTTCCCATCGGATTATCGTTACCCTTGCTAAATCCTGATGCAAGAGCCGATGTGTAGCTCTGTTTTTTCCGAGTCTACCCCTGCAGCAACCCAGCCAGAGCAAACTCCAACACAACTTCTCCCGCGGGTCTGATTGCGAGATTTGGTCCAACATTGGTGCTGCTGTTGGGCTAATCCGGATGGTGGAACAAGAAGCCAGCCTTCGACAAGACTGTTTTTCTTTCGTAAGCGTCGCATGTGTGATCTCAAACGACTTTGAACATCAAGGGAACTTTATTTTCGATGTGGATGATGGATCCGTAGCCGCAATATGTGCTTGACAATAGCTATAGCCAAAGCCGATTCGGCTAAAGAATGCGACTTTATGGACCGTGATCCGCATCTTGCTACACAGCATGCAGCTTGTGTCGAATTCCCGTCGGTCATACCGGCAGCTGTCATATGCAACCGATCACGATGCAAGGGGCTGACTTGCTATTCAGCTTCACTGCCTTCTGATCCATACACTTACTGGCAACCTGATGGTCGGTGTGAAGATTAAACACGTACACCTGGAACTTCAGAACATGAGTCCAGCACTTGCCAGATACAATATCACCTTTCGGCTGCCGTACTACAGCAGCACAACTCGGGAAACAATGCTGGTTGCTGCAGCCTTCCTCAATTGAAAATCGAAAGGTAACAAAGGTCTGCGGTGCTGTGCTCAGTGAGGTCAGGAAGTTCCGGGGGGCTGGCCTGCAATGGAAGGTGTGAGCGCGATGGCTTCCGAGGCTTCACTGCTACGTTAAGCCGCTAAGCGATTCAGAGGACATCAGGCTGGAACATGGACGCAGAGTGCGCAGGGCAAGGAGCGCAGCTGCCTCGTCCAATCGCCCGGCACCAGGGCAGCTGGTCTGATCATCCAACTTGTCCGACAGCACTGAGATATGCGTCATTAAACCATGCATCTTGTCCCAGACACCAGATATCTGGTCCGACATCTTCTCTGCAACGTCTTTCACCCTAGAGGAAAGTCTCTCGATGGCTGCTGCAATCGTGGCAGCTTGCTGGTCAATCGTCAGAGCCTGCTCCTCAGTACGAGCCTGCAGACGAATCATCCGAGACTCCAGAGCTGCCAGGCGCTCTGGCAAGATGCATTCCAAGCGTATGATCCTCTGCCGCATGCTCCACAATAAGCACAGCACGCCACTGGAAACTGCAGCAACGCCCAGTCCAAACCAGAAGCGCTCTGGCAGCCCTCGCCATGCCTTGGCTGTGGACTTAGGGAAGCCAGCAAAGCCTACACACCTTCTAGATTCTAGATCCTTGTAGCAGTCATGGGGAAGATACCGTAAATACCCTGACGGTTGCTGTGCTGCCAGGTACATGGATGCGAAGGGCAGGCACGGGCTCGATTGCCACAGCAACCTCCGTCAAGTCCTCGGCTAAGACAAGGCGCTGCCTAACCTTTCAAATCCACTTGGAGCAAGTGGGATCTCGGAAGTGCGACGTCCTGACTGCTTCATCCGGGCAACCAAAATGGTCGAGCTGGAACGGACGCCGGCTTCAAAACCATGCCAGCAGGAGACCTCGGCATTAGAACGGAGGACAGTCCCTGCAAAACATCCCGTTCGCAGGCGGCCTGGTCGAAGTTCTTGGGCAGATAGTCCTCAATGGTGGTCGGATATCCCTATCCCCGGAAAGATTTCGACTGCCAGCTTAGAGGAACCCTGGCAGAACACGGGGCTCAACCTGCGGCCATCAAAAGCAGAGAACTCTCGGGCGCCGAGCGTCCCCGAAGACCTGCTTAATCATAGGGAGAGGTCTCGTCTCCGAGTCCGGCCAATCCATTTTTGCTGTCGGGCTCGTGGGGCAGATCACATACCTTCAAGCGGGAAAGAAGGGGTCCAGAGCGCCTGTGCGCCGAATATGACAGGGTGCCGGTTCGAGTTTGGCAGGGCTGGGGACAGTCCAATAGGAGTGTAACGTGAGCAGCAGTCAACCTGACCAAAGAGGTTTGAAACCGCTGATGATATCACGCCCCAAGGACCTTCCAATCTACTGATACCGTGAAAGCAGCCAACCATCTGGTTTCCTTCTGCCTACGGAGGCAATGCAAAGCACTCCAAGGGCCTGATCTCAGCATGGCTCTTGAGCCAGGAGCAGAGCTCAACATTCTTGGGGCAGTGCTCGGCGTTGAACCTGGGCTTCCAACGTCATGTCACTTGCTTGAAACATGTTCTCGACTCTTGCGCCGAAGCTGGGCGGACTGAAGCACACGTCTTCGGATGCACTCGAGGCACGGCCTGAAGATGAACATGTCCAGGCAGGGAGGAACATGAGCTGTGGGTCGAGACAAGGGATATGTAAAAACCAATAACATACAGCCAGGCCAAACTCAAATCAGTAACCACAGGTGGCTCGACTGCCCCGTCGCCAGCAGCAACACCCAGATCTCCTAGGCTGGTGCAGCAAGGCTCGTGCCCAGGCTTGGAGGCCCAAGTTTTGACATCGTCGGACGTTCACTGACATGCTCATCTTAAACCCGTGCACGAATGCCCACTCTACATCTCGTCTTGTCTTGTCAATCCGTACTGCGAGAAACAGAGAGGCACAGCAAGTACAAAGAAAAACAGGCAGAGAGAGTGAGAGAAGACGAAGAGAAGAAAGGAAACTGCTGCCGAAAGCCACATGTTCACAAGCCGTGGTCAATGCCCCCAATGCACTTCTTGCACTTCTTGGATGCCGCGGCGCACAGGAATGTGGATCCCCAATCGCTTGGCGCAGCTTCTGTATGCTCAGCGCCTGTCAGCAACACTGGTGAGCATTTCAGAACTTTTTGTCATCTTCACCAGCACTGGAATACTAGATGGAACTTTGGAGCTACAGCAAGGTTTGGGGCGTCAAGTTCAAGATTACAAAGCGATGTGGCATTGGTTGTCAAGGAGGGTCTCACAAGCCAGCCGATGCATCCGAGTCGTGTTGGGGAACGAACGGTTGAGTACAGACCATGAAAACCTGCGCGCACACCTATGCACCCACAAATGCAGCAGCTTCATGCGCCAATGAGGTCGGATTCAGCAGGTACCAGGATACATCTTGCATAAACGGTTTTGCTCGAGCAACAGCAGCAGCAGCAGCAAAAATGATGTTAGGTGGCGGCCTTCTGCTCGGAGAACTGCAACAAGAGGACCTCTTCTGCCATGTGAGACCTCGGGTGCACACAGTCTCAGGATCGGGCACGCGACTGAGCTGCAGTAACTGATGTTATTTGATGTGCTGACATACGCGAGAATCACTTCGCACAATGCTCCCCGACGCGGAAGCTTCGACCTTGACACCTGGTAACGCTACTTGAAGTGGCTGCAAGTGAGCATATGAGGACACAACAACCGTCGAACGCAGAAGCCGTCTTGAAGCATGCAACATGGAACGATTGAAACTCCGCCGGTGTCGACAGGCTGCTGACGCAAGTGGCCCTCGAAGCCTTTCAACGCGTCGCTGTTCCTGGAAGCACAGAATTGAATGGCAAGTGTGGAGGGAACCAGCTTACTCACGACATAATGTCTGCAAAGTTATGTATTTGAGTGACAGGACCCGATCTTGAAATGTCGAGCCGCCTAAAACATACCTCACACTCCACAGTTGATTCAACATTGAAAGGTATTGTAAAGTCATCGATTCAACCAACCTGAAGCTGAAAGGCATGGTATTTGTCGCTGAGATGTGTTTGGGGCAAAGACTGAAAACATCAAACAACAAAAGAACAAGCACAGCACAGCTGTGTATGATAAGGAACATGCCTTGTCACTCGATGCATGACAAATTTCCTGGCACCCATGGTGCAAGACAAGCTCCGGCCCACGATGAGGAAAGCCGAATTAGCGGGCAAGGGGCGTGGAGAGGACAATGTGGCTTCGCTGCATTGCCATGTCCACAGCCCGGATTTCAGGATCAATCCGTTCTGTTTGAGCCCTTGCTTAGGTGGGGTGGCCGCACGACCAATGACACTCGGTCCCGGTAACGACTTCTCGAAAATTGTTGTAGGAGTGGAACACAACAGAATAAGCAACAGCAGCAGCAACAGCACCACCACCAACAGCAGCAGCAGCAGCAGCAGCATAACCACCACCACCACCACCACCACTAGCAGCAACACCAGCAGCCACCGGCAGCAGCCACAAGACTAGCTGCACAATGCCAGCACCACTGGTGGCAGCAGCAGCAGCAGCAGCAGCAGTACGAATAACAACAACCTGGTACAACACCAACACTAGCACCCAGCTTCAAAACTACAATCTGCACAATTTTATATTCCCGTGGAAAAATTCGTCCTCTGCACGCCGTGGGTCAGGAGTCATTGCAAATATCATGCATAAACCTGGTTAGGAGACCGAAAAAATCTTCAAACGCACTGATGCGCAGACTGTCGGAAGGCATCATCCAAGGCGGCAAACTCTGTCCGTGCAACCACCAATGGACCTTTGTCCGAGCTAGAGGGCATGGAGCTTGTTAGAAGTCACGGTTGCTCACACAGAAGAAAGTTGCGATTTGACTTGAAATTTGAAGATTGCTCCGAGGCAACATTTGATGCTGTTCCAACGACATGAGAGATGGCTACGTCAACGCAATGCCTGAGAGGTTGTTCGTGTGATAGGAAAGTAGCAAATAAGACATGCAACAACAGTAATAACCAGAACGGAGGCTGGTAACAGACAGATCTCAGTCAAGCTTTCAGAATCAAAGAAATGTTCCAGCAGATTCCCCCTTTTTTAAGCCCCGTTTTACGCCTCTCTTAAGTTCTGAAGGCTCCCTGAAATAAGTCCCCCTTAAGCTCCCTTTAAGCCCCGCCTGAAAGCTCCCGTAGCCCCAACGTGAATCATCGATCTTAGCTTCTTTCTCTGTACCCAGCCAATCGTAAGCGTGTGTCTTCAAGGGGGCTTCAAAGAAAGGTTTTCAAGCCACACAACTTCAAAGGGGCTTTAAGGGGGCGTCAAGGGGCTCGTCGGAAGCTCATCCTGTTGAAAAGGCCAGGGGACTCACTGCTAACCTGAGGCTTAAAAACGTCGTCTCGTTCATACTGCGTTAAAAAGCGGATGACAAAAAAGGTTCGGATCTGGATTGCTGCTACACTTTCTTCCCGTTTTTGACCGTGGAGACAAGAACCATGGGAGTCGAACTCGAACCTAGGGTTCGAACATAGAGTTCCCGAACCGAGAGGTTCGAATATGAGGTTCAACTCGGATTTGAACTCGTCCACTATTCGAACTCTGAGTCGGGGATTTGCGGGGGTTAAAAAGCGAAGAAAAAACAAGACTAAGAAACGAAAATAAACTGAAATCCGGTGAAAACTCCACCTCAATCCAGGTTCAGCCACACAAAAGGAGAAAGCCACACGAAAACGCTTTTGGGGGGTTAAAAGCCAAAAAAAAAGAATCAAAAGCCGATCCTTCCAAACACAAAAGAAGGAAGCCACGCAAAAACGCTTATGAGGGAAAAAAGCGAAGAAAAACAAGAAAATGAAACGAAAACAATGACAAATCCAGGGAAAAATCCACTTTAATCCAGGTTCAGCCAGGTTGATCGGAACTTCCCGTCTTTTTCCACATCCGCTTTTCTGCACACAAACTTCAAGGCTCCCCTGGCCGGGGCGAGGAGGTGCGAAGCACTCTTCTCTTTGCACAAGACATAGCAGCGGGCGGTGTCGGGGTTATGGTTTGTGATTCAGGGTTTAGGGACAAACAACAAACAAAAAAAACAAACAACAACCAACAACCAACAACCAACAACAACAACAACCAAGCAACAACCAACAACCAACAACCAACAACCACAACCAACAACAACCACAACCAACAACAACCACAATCAACAACAACCACAACCAACAACAACCACAACCAACAACACCAACAAGCAACCACCAAAAACCAACAACACCAACAAGCAACCACCAAGAACCAAGAACACCAACAACCAACAACCAACAACCAACAGCCAACAGCCAACAGCCAACAGCCAACAACCAACAACCAACGACCAATGACCAACGACCAACGATCAACAACCAACAACAAAAAACAATCATCGAGAACGGTGATATTTGTCTACTCCGAAGCCAACCCGAAACTCAGCCATTGACCTGTTCTGGCATGTCCTATTTCCTAGCAGGGATAATGTTGGGTTTAGGGTTTAATTAGGGTTTTCTGTTTTGGGTTTGGGGTTGTCGTGGGGTTTGGATGTCAGGTTCAGAGTTTAGGATCCGGGGTCGTGCCGATGATTTAGGCTCTAGGACTTTGGGTTCAGGGGTTTCTGGTTTAGGGTTTAGGGCTTAGGGTTTAGGAAGGTGGCCTCTGGGTCCAGTTTTTTTGTATTCCCCGGTCGCTCAGCACTTTTCTATGTACCTCGACTGTACACCACGGCTTTCCCAAAACCGAAGCTCTGGCTGAACACCACATCGCAATGCATGAATCATCGTTAGTATTGTTACTGTTGCTAATACGATTATTGAAATTAATAATCTTACTATTTTGCTGTCATAAGTACTACTATTATGCTTGTTATGATTATGATGACATATATCAAACCCTAAACCATTGAACCCTGAACCATTCACGAGCGCAGCTTCCTTAGAATCCGCAAGACTGCTTTACCATCAACCCTACACCCTAAATCCTAAACCTCGAAACCCTAAACCCCTGAACCCTAAACCCCTAAACCCCTAAACTTTAAACCCTGCAGACTTAGGCTGCGGAAGATGTCGAAGCCCTGCTGTAGGCTTGTGGCTTTTATTAAACCCCAAACTTCCCCCAAGCCCTAACCCTAAAGCTTCCTCAACCCCAAAGTCCGCAATTCTCAAGATCTCCACTGTAGTTCCGGTTCTTCGTATGTAGGATCCTATAAAGCAACCCCCCCAAAGGAACTACGATTGAGACTATACGTAACCTCCGAACCGCCCCTGCTTTCATTTCGTTGTTCCTCCCTCCAAGTTCCTTTGCAGGTGCTTTCCTTCCTCATGACCGTGAGCGCAGTGAAGGGCCCAGCGGATTCCGCTTATCAGGTTGCAATATAGGTACTTCTCTAACAGAGGGTCCCTTTTAGGGTCCTTTCTATAAGGGCGCCGTACTACATTTGTGGGAACCTACACCACAAAGGGATCCTAATTTTAGAGAACTACCCATAGAGGGGTCGGAACAATAATAGTCCTCAGGCCTCCCCAATGCCATTCCTATAGTCTCCATTGTAGTTCCTTTTTGGGCTTACCTTTTAGGATCCTTCATATAAATTTGGTTAAACCAAAAAAGGAACTACAATGGAGACTATAGGTTTTACCATATTATCAAGACCCAATTCGCAGGGCTTCAGGCTTGTAGGACCTTCGGCGCTGAGCCCTGAACTGTAAACCACCCAAATCCAGGGTGTATGGTCTGATCTGTATGCACAGTTGTATATATATATATGTGTGTGTATGTATGGAAGGATATGCGTGGTTATATTCAGTACAAAAATAAAGAAGGAAATGTATATAGAGACGAAATACACATGCAGATGTGTACATACAACACTAAGGTAAACCCCAGCAAACCCGGAAATTTTTTAATCAAGGCAATTGTACCCTAAACCCTAAACCCGTAAACCCTAAACCCCTAAACCCCTAAACCCTAAACCCTAAACCCCTAAACCCCTAAACCCTAAAATTGTACTAGGAAGCGTTCGTGTCTCCGTTTCTGAGGCCTTTGCCTTCGTGCCCCCTGCACAGAGCAACGCCCGGGTGCAGGCCGAGCCCGGGCTGGCTCAGGGGTTAGGGTTCAGGGTTTAGGGTTTAGGGTATAAGGTTTAGGGTTTAAGGTTTAGGGTTTAGGGTTTAGGGTTAGGGTTTAGGTTCAAGACCAGTGTTCAGGGTCTTGGCGTGCAGACATAACAACAGAACACGGTCTGTACGGAGTTGTTTTAGGGTTATCTTTTCAACAAAATTTCGTTGAATACAGGGCCTGAGTCTTTGTGATGCCGTTGATGGAGGCTTATGCGTACATTATTATGATATGGTTACTTCAATGAGGGAGCCCCAACTCACAGCAATGAGCAGCATTCAGGTCCTACAGCTTTAGGTCTATACGGTTTTGAGCTCCAGGTGTGGGTTTTCGGGGTTTGTGCCTGCTGCTTGGAGTTCAGACGTTCGGATTCAGGGTTTGCAGTCTTGCTCGTTGGGTTCGTTGAAAATGATTTAGAGGTCATGAACAGCTGCAGATTCCAACAAATACCCATAATCATGCAAAGCGACGTGAAGACGAATGTGGTCAGTTATCAGCTATTCATCAAGCCGGGAATAACGGCAATGCGTTTTCCTCTGCGTGTTTCGGAGCATTCTGCTCGCGGTTGACATAGTCCGTTCGTCCATTCTTCCTGTTGGTATTCGGCCAATTCCAAGGGTTCCAAATTCCAACGCATTCCGAATTGGGCTCCAGCGGCCACCATTGTCGTCTCCAACACCACCGACAACAATCATCATCATCACCACCACGATCATGATCATTATCATCATCATGACATACCATCTGCTTATATGATTATACACATCAAACGTACTGTTCTGGTTCTTCCTGTTTATCTGCATCATCTTCGGCATTATTGTCACCGTCATTAGTCTCTTCGTCGTCATTGTCACCATTGTCATGGTCATATTGCTTGTCGACTTCTGGGGGTCATGTCAGGCTGCTTTGGCGTCCTATTGGTTCGGTAGCTTGGCTTTCGATTGCTTGGTCTAATTATAGAAATTACTCGGACCCAGAGCAGGCCCTCATTCCCTTTTTTGGGGATCAGGTTCCCTTATAAAGTCCTTTAAACCAAAAAGGGCACCCTTTCTATTCCTAGGTTTCTCTTGGGTCTAGATTA